ACTAGATTCTTCACACTGCTACTTACACTTGCTCTGGGATTATATACCTTCCCCGAACCTCTTCTCTTTGTACTGCTCCACCCCTCGGCCCCTGTGACCTATATCTGGGCTGTGTGGCAGATACTACTGGGTAGGAGTCTTCTGGAAGTCTGAGAGACAAAGGCGGCTATCACATGGCACAGTCTGAATAGACAGCAAATGTGAGTTAAGGGCCATGATACATAGTGCTGTGACAGGAGCTGACTCTGCCTTGAGAAGTCAGGGAAGCCTTTACCAGGAAGTGATATTTGAATAACCTTAAAGGACTTACCTTGGCAGACAGTGGGAGGAAGGGAGTTCTAGTCAAGGAGAATATGCAGAAAGGCCTGAAATTGCATGGTGTTCTTAAAGACAATGTGATGTGAAAGGCATAAAGGGAATATGCTTTGGGGATGGGGGGTTGAGGGCTAATGAGTAGGAGAGGGAGGAAACCAACCCAGAGAAGTAAACAGGGACCTACCCATGAGGGCCTTGGGAGCCGTACTTTGTAGTTTAGGCTTTGCCCTATAAATGCTGGGAAGCTGTGATGGGTTTTGTACAGGGGCACAACATGGCCAGATTTGTATATGAGGAAGGCGGGACACATGGCCATCGTGTTTGGATTGTCTCATTTGTCCTCTAGAGATTCTGTGAGGCAGGCAAGACAGGCACTGCTTTTTATACCAGAGAAGACTAAGGTGCAAATACCTTGCCAGAGGTCTCAGAGCCAGAAAGCAAAGGGCCTAGGACTCACCTAGCTTCCTGGCTCTGGATCTCTTTGTTCTGAGCACACTGCCATTGTTGACAGAGTCTTCTAGAAAGCTGCCTGTGGCCGGGTAGTGGGTAGATGCTGACAGGAGCATTATGAAGCAAATGGTCATTGATACAATTTCACTGAAGGAGGATAACACTGGGATTTTGTGGCCTGCGGTATTCAGTCTCCTGACCTCGATGCCAAAGCATAGACAGCAAGAAGTAGACGGGAGCTTTGAGCTTGAAGCTCTACATTTGCCTGACAAAATTTGTTCATCACTGTCTCAATCATTAATTCAGAGTAGCATCTGCTGCCTGATACTAGAATTTGTCAATGGCTTGTTTCTGGAAGCTCCTGGTCCTCGAGGCCGGTCAACTCAGCAGTCCACAGCCTTAAGGTGAACCCTGGCAGTCAAAGGCAGGCTCTTTCTCGCTATGCTTTTTATTTTTTTTCTCTTCAACATCAGCAAAAAAAAATTTCTTTTTTTTTGAGACACACTCTCACTATGTCATCCTTGGTAGACTGGTGCATGTGGCCAGCACCCTAACCGCTGACCTACTGGTGCCAAACCATCTCTATGCATTTTGTAACTTTATTTTTTAAAAAACAAAGAACATGACATGGCAATAAAAAATGTCAGGTTGGAGATAAGGCAGACCTGAGTTTTATTTTGCTACTCCCACTTAACTAGCTATGAAAGTTATTTAATATGTATGAGGCTCGATCTCCTTATGTTTAAAATGAGCAAAGTCAGATCTACCTGGAAAGATTTTTGTGATGATTAAAATGTGATAATGTTTACAAAGTGCCTTGGCGTGATGCCCAACACATGGGAGCTCTCATATATGATAGCTTTAATTCCATTGCCACTATTACCACTGCTGCTACTGCCATAGTTAAGGAAGATTTGGAAAGTAGAGAACGGTAGAAAAAAATATCTTGTAGTCCTACCACCATGATGCACCTACCCTTGCAATTTAGTTACATTTCCTTCAAATTCTTTCTCCCCACCACTACTTCTTCTTCTTCTTCTTTTTTTTTTTTTTTTTGAGAGTCTCACTTTGTCACCCTTGGTAGAATACCATGGTGTCATAGCTCAAAGCAACCTCAAACTCTTGGGCTCAAATGATTCTCTTGCCTCAGCCTCCTGAGTAGCTGGGACTGCTTGCACTGCCACAATGCCTGACTGTTTCTAGAGACAATGTCTGTCTCTGGCTCCAGCTGGTCTCAAACCCATGAGCTCAGGCAACCCACCCGCCTTGGCCTCCCAAACGCTAGGATTACATACAGGCATAAGCCACCTTGCCCGGCCTCTCTCCACTACTTCTAAACATACCACATTTCATAATGTATATATTTTATACCCAGGTGGGTTTATTTTTATTCTGTCATAGAAACCATATTACATTTATTTTTTCTTATTTTTAATAGCCTTTTTCTTTATGGTAAGAATGGCATGTAAAATTCAGAAAGTATATAAAAAAGAAAAAAAACATACAATGCTAGTCTCATCCCCAGTCAGAGGTTCATATTTTGTCACTGTTCATATTTTGATATTTCAGTCATTCTTATTCATGTTTTATTATAGAGTTGAGATCATATTCTATATATAATTTTTGTGTGATTTTTCAGTTTATATGACATTATGAGTATGCTCCTATTATTGTGAGCATCATTTTCCAAGGTTGTGTAATAATCCAGCCAATGGCTTTCCTATAATTTACATAAGCATTCCCCTATTGGTAGACAGCTGGGTTTTTTCCAGTTCTTCAATTTAAACAGCTTCCTGTAACATACCTAGGGAACCAGGCTCATTACAGCCAGGAAGCCCATAATGAACTTGTGCTGTGTATGTGGCCCCATGGATGTGGCATAGTGGGAACCCACAGGTAAATCAGATCCAGAGCCAGCCTTAAAGGAGCTCGAAGACTAGACAACCTGGAAGTATTTACTATGGGTGAAAGATGCAAGAGCTTTTTTGCTGGGCAATCAGGAAGTTCACATAAGTATGGTAGCCCTCTTCCTTGTGGAAGCTGGGATCTGGGAAGCACAGTTTTTACACAGAAAAAAAGCCTAGGAAGCCTTGCTGCCCCTTCTCACTACCACTGTGCACACTGGCTTCCAATGCTCCAGTGTCTTTTGAGCCTGTTACCCTGTCGGGGGCCTGTGCTAAGAATATTTGGATATTACTTCCAAGTTGTTTTCGTTGGGAAAGAAGAAGAAGTAGCAATGAAGGAACTTGTATGAGAATTTGGAGAATCAGAGTGGCTCTCATTTTATTTTTTAATCGACAGATACAGTTGTATATATTTATCATGTATACTTGATGTTTTGGAATATATATGTATTGTGGAATGGCTAAATCAAGCTAATTAACATACCTTATTTCACATAGTTGTTACTTTTTTGGTGAGGGAACAACTCAGTCTCTTAGTATTTTTTAAGAATGTAAGATGTTGGCTCAGTGACTTGTACCACATACAAAGATTAAGACTATAATTACAACACATTCACAGCCATGTGTACATAAAAAGAGAAAATGAGAACAAAACTGAAAGGAAATATACCAAGATATTAAAGAAGTTGGATTTAGCCAATAAGACCATGAATTTTTTTAATCCTTTCTTATTTCTACTTTTTGTATTTTTCAAACTTTCTGTAATGAGCATAGGTTACCTGTTGCTCAAGTGACTAAGGTGCCAGCCACATACACCTGAGCTGGTGGGTTCCAATCCAGCCTGGGCCCGCCAAACAACAATAACGGCTGCAACCAAAAAATAGCCGGGCATTGTGGGAGGTGCCTGTAGTCCCAGCTACTTCAGGGGCAGAGGCAGGAGAATCGCTTGAGCCCAGGAGTTGGAGGTTGCTGTGAGCTGTGATGCCACCGCACTCTACCCAGGGTGACAACTTGAGGCTCTGTCTCAAAAAAAAAAAAAAGAATGCAAGATGTTATTAACTGTAGTCATTTGTGACAACATGGATGAACCTAGAGGACATTATGCCAGGCACAGAAAGACAAGTACCACATGATCTCACTTAATCGGACTCATATAAAAAAAGTTGACTTGGGCTGTGCCTGTGGCTCAAGGAGTAGGGCGCCAGCTCCATATGACAGAGGTGGTGGGTTCAAACCCAGCCCCGGCCAAAAAGTGCAAAAAAAAAAAAAAATTGACTCGTAGAGGTAGAGAACAGAATGGTGAGTCTAGTCTTAGTTTTGGCATAGGCTTTCTCTGGGGCCTGAGGTAAGTTCTTTAGCCTTCCCAGGCCTCAGTCATCTTCTCTTAATGTAGGTGATCTCCAGGGCCCTTCCAGCATTAATGTTCCAGAGTACCTGAACTCCTCTTGCCAGGAGCTACCATGAGCATCTTTCAATCATTCTCTCACTTAGCAGATGTTAACTGAGTCCCAGTGCTTGTCCAGTCCAACTGTGCAGTATGGAGGTGAATGAGACTCCAGCCCTGTTCTCAAGATGCACGCAGTTAAGTGAAAGACAGGAAAAAATGTTAACAGGCAACAAGATGGCTGCGACAATGCAGACCATATGACATAATGACAGGAGTGCCTGAGTCTGCCTAGAAGTAACAGCAAGGGCATCTCAATAGATGCTGTGAGATTTTAAAGGATAAGTAGAGATGTATTAGGTAGGCAGGAGAAGAACAAACGTGCAAAGGCCTAGAAGTGTGAGAAAACAAGATTATGTTCATAGAACTGCAGAGAGTTTGTGTGGCTGCTGGGTGAAAGTTCAGACAGGGGACAGATGAGGGGAAGTCAAGCTTGTCTCCACAGACCACTCTATTTCTACTGAATTCTTTGCCAATTTTATCAGCCCAGATGAGAGTGATGGTCTTTTTAGTTTTCAGAAACTGTTATCTTTCCATTTTTAAAGTAACATATGCTCATTATAGAAAGTTTGAAAAATACAAAAAGTAGAAATAAGAAAGGATTCAAAAAATTCATGGTCTTCTTGGCTAAATCCAACTTCTTTAATATCTTGGTATATTTCCTTTCAGTTTTGTTCTCATTTTCTCTTTTTATGTACACATGGCTGTGAATGTGTTATAATTATAGTCTTAATCTTTGTATGTGGTACTCATTTCAACTTCCTTCCTAAAATTTGCCAAAAATGGATGTTAGTGTCATTAGACAATAACTATGATCTTAAAATGTGCTGGCTGAAATATCTATATATTTTCTTTCTCTAATATAACTATTTTCTTTGGTTCTGCAGGTCTCTTGTGGCTCAGAGCATAATTTGGCAGTGATTGGTAAGTGATTTTTATACTGGTGACTATATTTATTGTGTATTTCATGTGGCAGAATTGGAGAAGACTCTTGGTTAACCAAAAGCCAGGGTGCACGTGTGCGTGTATATGTGTTGGGAGGGATTTGAGGATGTGGAAGTGTTTGGTTGGCCAAAGGTTTTCTAGAAGTGCCTTTTCTAAAAATTTTAGTCCATATCCTTGAGTATCTTTTTAAGGTGGCTGCAATGGCCTCCCTGCTTTAGAGAGTGACATTGAAGGATATTAACTCACGGGCTGGGGGCATCATGTGTAAAAAGCCAGACGTAAAAAGGGGGAGTGGATTGGACTGCTCTTTAAATGAATCCCTTATACCAATTCTTCCCTACTGGTTTGGCTGTTTCTTTGGAAATACAAGGTCTGTCCTCACTGCCTTGTATTTAGTGACACTTGGGAACTTCCAGTTGGACCCAAATCTCTGGTTAATAGAGGCTTCCTCTTAACTGACTCCAGATAATCAAAGTTCAGTGTTTTCATAATTCAACCTATGAGTAATTCATTCAGGAAGCCTTCTCACTACTTCCACATGGAGTCTCAGTCTCTATCCCACAGTATATTAAAGAGACCAGGTGTAGGGCCAGATTGTCTGAGTTCATTTCAGACTTCCACTTACTGGCAGTGTGAACTGGGACAAGGGATTTAACCCTTCTTTGGCTCGTTTACTTCATCTTTAAAATGGAGAGGGCAGTAGAGTCTGTCTCATAGGATTGGTGGAGGGTTAACTGAGTTCTATTTAAAGCCCGTAGAATGGTGCTTAGCTACTAGTAAGGGCTTTAGGAATGTTATTTAGTTTCCACATCTGTAAAATGGAGGAGTTAAAACAGGAAACCGAGATTCCCTCCAGCTCTGATATTTTTGAACTCTTGTTACAACCCCACCATTGCCTGCCTTGTGCCAGTGATTTTTGTTCTTGTCTGCTTCTCTCTCCTAGCCTCTGACTCTGAACTTCTGAGAGGCAGGAAGCCTGTGTTTCTCTCTTATTTCTTACCTTTTCTCAGCACCCAGAGCAGTGCTGGTTCTCAGCAGAGACTCACACACTCTTTTTGGAATTGCGCTAGATTGGCTCAGCTGCCTGAGATGGCAGTAGTTTGAAGCACTGCTTTGCAGGTCCAAACCTGATGTGCAAAGAGGCCGAACCAAGGACAGCAGAGAAGGAGGGTACCAGCCAGTAAGGGGTTGGGCAGTAAAAGGGGCTGGGGTGAGAAAAGGAGCTAGAAAATGTAGCAGCAAACCTGCCTACGGATACTTGATACCAGAACTGCTTCAGCCTGGGTGTAGTTAAGACAAGGTAATGAAAGAGTTGAAGTTAGTGTCTAGTATATCGTTACTACTGCTGCTGTCACTGGACTGGGAGAAGTTGGCTTCCTCTGGGACCAACATAAATAAGAAGATTGCAGGGAATATAAATTTGTGAAAGCACTAAGTCCAGAGAAAGGAGGGGGCCAGAGCCAGCAGAGCAGCAGGCTGAGACAGGGACTCTGCAGGCGGACAACCGGGATTCAAACTAGCCCCATCTCTATGAGAACTTTGATTTTTCCCCTCATCTATCTATTGGAGATTATGATCTTACTTTGCAGGATTGTTGTAGAGATTAGGTGAGTTAATGTATGTGAAATGCGTGGTGTATAACACACAAACACACACTCACAGTGCCCAAAAAATCTTCTTAAAATACACATTTTAAGAAAGGAAAAAACTGCATTAAAATTTTAATATTGAAGTCATGTTTGATTCCTGCAAGTACAAGAAATGCAATATACAAGATAACAAATGTTATTGGTGTATATTGAGTATTATAGTTTTAATACAGTTTTTTCCTTTTTTAAAATATATATACATATTTGGGGCACCCTCTGTATATATATTCCTTTTGTTTATCTTTTCTGTTGTTCAAGTAGGGGGAGGTGAGAATTCCTTGTTAGTGTAACTGTTCTAGTGAAACATTTTTTTCTGGGAGAGAGAAATGATGACATTTTGGAAAGGTGTGTCCAGTGTTCCCTAAGCAAGGAGGCCATCAGAGGCAGTGGGAAAATAGTGCGTGCTGGTGAGCTTCTTGAGGGCAGATCTTTTCTTTTGCATTTTGTTCCTATTACCTGGGGCCTGGCTCAAAGTCTACTGACTGTATATCCAGAGAGTCAGGAAAGGTGGGCCCACTCATAAGACTCTAAGCATGTCTACCTGCCTGCCAGCTGGGAGCTAGAGCCCCCCTCACTGGAGAAATGGGGCCCTCAGGGGGTGCCCTGCAGGGTGCAAGCTTTGCAATAGGAAGTAACTAGAAGCTGCATATTAGCCTGGGCAGGAGGCCAGCAAGAGGGAGACAAGCTAGAGAACCAGCTTATATCGCGTTTCTCGCAGCCAGCTCCTCCCCTCCACCTTACTGCCAGTGCCCATTTTAGATGGATTCCTTGCTTGCAGCCTCAGTCCCTGAGCTCTTTGCCCCTCAGTGCCTGGTGCTGTGTCCCACCTGTGAGAGGCACAAGAGAATTATAGAGTAGACTTGGACAGACTGTAAAGAAGCCTAACTTTGCTCAAGGGTAGTGGCAGCCCTAATGTCTAATCAGGTGCAGCAGACAAATCAAATTGGAAGGGAGGTAAAATAGGGAAGGGTAAAAAGACATGACCGAGAACCCATTCTGTCTTAGGTAATAGACGTAACTCTACAAAGTACCTCTTTATAGAGAACAAAACTGGGACTCTGAGGTTAAAAGGGTTAAACAGTTGCCCAGGGATCAGTGGCAGGAAATGGTAGCGCTATCTGCCTGACTTCCAAGAGTGCTCTTTCCCTTTCATCAATCATATCCTGTGACCTGGCGCAGTCTGGCTACTGTGGTTAGGAAGCGTTTAAGCACTGGGGTCAGATCACCTGGATGCAAATTCTACCTTCTCCACTTACGAGCTGTGTAACCTGTGTAAGTGTCTTAACTTCTCTGTGTCGGATTACCTCATCTGGGATATCATATTACTGACCTCATAGGGTTCTTTCATTTTATTTTATTTTATTTTTACAGTTTTTGGCCAGGGCTGGGCTTGAACCTGCCACCCCTGGTATATAGGTACGGCGCCCTATTCTGTGAGCCACAGGCACCGCCCCCTCATATAGGGTTCTTATTTGAAGTCTAAGAACAGTGTTTGACACAAAAGTAAAGGCTCAATAAATGTTAGCTGCTATTACGTATTAATAAATATTAAGACCTCATGAAAGGAAATAATTGTAAGACTACAAGAAGGCTTGAGGCTCAGGGTGGGAATTTCAGAAGCTAGGGAGGAAAAGTGTCTTCCCTACTCCGGATGTCAGGGTCTGGGGCAAGATCTCAGCACAGTTGCAGAATGGATTTGTAAACCAGGCTCTGGGGTCCTGATCAGGGAGATCTGGGCATCACAGCAGCCTTGGAAATAGTGCTAGCCCCTGTTTGTTCCAGGTTAGGATTGTGCTGTCCATTGTCCCCAAAAGGGACTGAGGCCTTGTGTGTTCTAGCTGGAGGCAGCCCCCGCCCCAGCAGCCACACTTTCCTCTGGGGAAGGAAATTCCCCTCTGCTAATTCATGTGCTTCCAGATGTCTTTCTGCCCTCCTATTGCGGTTTAGTAGGGTCCTTCCTTCATTTCCCAATTCAGTTCCTCTTGACCTGTTTCGTATTTGCTGTCAGGTGCCCCATGGCTAGCCAGGATGGTTTCTGCTTTAGATGAGAGAAGAACTGCTGGAGCTGGGTGTAGAGAAACTTAGGTGATGGAAGAAGAGAGCTGAGGCCACTGGCCACGGCTGGCTTGGCCACGCTCTGCCCATGTGCCCTGTACGATCACTCTGCCTCATTGAGCCCACTTCCTCGCCTATAGAGCTGACTTCATGGTACCCACTCCCTGAAGATGTTCTCCTGAATGGTCGAGCTGTGTCAAGTGCCTGTTCAGCGCCTGCCTCATGACAGGTGCTCGGCAGGTGCTCGGCAGGTGCTCCTCACTTGGCTGGTGCACTACTTTGCTTTCTTCCTTTCCACTCAGGGTCTCCCTCCACATCTGTTCAAGCTTGCGTGCTGGCTCCCATTTGTGGGCATAGACTGAGGCCAGCAGGGGTGAGCTGAGGGCATGTGGCCACCGCTTGTTCAGAAGATCACTGCCTCCCAGAGGCAGGTCCCCCGACTCAGCTCTGTGTTTGGGTTCCTCACCTCTGTATCTGGCTGAATTGGCTGCAGCTGTTTTGCCTCCCTCAGGAGCAGCTTATTTTGTCTTGAATGGGCAATTTGTTTGCCTTCTCTCCTGATGTGCAGTTGTTCAGCCTTCCCTTCCCGTGGAGAAAAAAAGAGCTGACTGCGTTTCCTCTCTCCTTGCTCTACAACAGACCCTTGGAAAGATTTTATTGGTGGCCTTTTCCTGGATCACTTGGGCTTGCCAGACGGGCATTGTTAAAGGCGTGGATATTGGCAGGAAAGTGTGGTGCCTCCTCCTTCTCCTAGCAAAGCCAGTTCTTTTACTAAATTGGAGCTATAATCTATGCTTGGATTTTTTTTTCATTTCCTTGATGATTTCCGATTGCTGAATTTTTGTACCTTTATAATATGTATAGCAGAACATCTGACCTTGGCTTGAAATCCATCAGTGTCATGGAAGAATTTAATAGAAAGAAAAATTTAATAGGGAGAAATAACACTTTTTTGGCACCAGCTGTTCTCTGAGATGTGGTGCCTCCAAACTCGAGGGCCTTGTAGAGAGCTTAGAGGCAGCTACAAACTGGTATGTTCCTATGCAAGATGTAATGCTGTGCCTCAGTTATCCCATTGAATCCTCACAGCAAATGGATGATCTGGTGCTAGCACTAACCCCATTTTCTAGAGAAGGGAAGAAGAAGTTTAAGGTAAGCAGTTTGCACCACCGATGTCATGCAGTTAGGAGGAATTTGTCTGTCAGGTCTTTTAACCAGGTCTCTCATTTCAGAGGTGGAAACTGCCACCCAATACTGCCTTCTTGTAGACTGTGA